ACTAGATGTTTACCGCGGTAATGGTAGAGATCTTGCTCGCATGCTTGTCCGTTATGGTAGGTATGCTGATAGGCCGTAATAATTAATTGACAATGACTAGGCATAAGGTATGTGATCATCCCTGACCAAGCCCGGATGGCAACCATGTTGATTATACAGTGTCTCGGTGTTATGATGTAATTATCTGGGTTTTGTTCACGATCCGCTTTCGTGGCTTGCGAGGCGTCAATGAGAGAACAAATCGACGTTTAGAGAGATCATGGCAGTATAGTAGATCAAGGTAGAGTACCGGTGTTCTGTTTGGGGGAAAAACCCCCAAGGCGGCCTGCTCATGGCAGATATGATTTCAAAGTAACTGGGGAAGCAATGGACATAAAATAGTTGGTCAATAATTTATAGCTGAAACTGAGCCTAGACTAGCTAGCAGTATACTATGCATGTATACTAGGGAAGTCAGTCAAGAGACGAAGTTGCAAGAGTGGTCAAGAAAACACAAACGGGCCTAACTAACAGCAATTTTGAACATGATTTTGCTGCGTCCCATCATCCGTTAAAAGGACCTCACATCACAACCCCTGTGTTGGCCCAGCAACCATCGACCGCCAAGATAACATCGTGTTCATCGTCAAACGAGAATGACAAAGTTCAGTATGGAACGGACCAGAAAAGGGAAGTTTCATAAGGGTAAGATGAGTTGCAGACAACTGCAGAGGAGAATTGACGCAAGGGCAAGCTAGGAAAGAATGTTAAAAACGTTCGTCTCAAAGAAACATTCATAAAATTGCAGTAGCAAAGCAACGGCAGTGCGATACAAGAACCAGATCACAGACTTAAGCCCCTGCCATAGCTCGGCAACTTCCCGGACACCGTTGGTTGGGTTAACCTCTCACAAACAAGGTCGTCCACTCAAGGTCCGCAAAATTGTCGAGAATGGCTGGATCCCCTGCGTATATGGGATCCCTCTCAATGGCCACATGAACGAGAAGGCCTCTGGGGTTACCATGAGACCTTGGATCTGGAATGATGCATGTTAGCCGTATTTAGGACCTTATCCCGGGCGCGAAATTAAAGCCTCATGGAGGCTTATCCACGTCAGTAAAAATTCGTGTACTTACAGCCAGCCGGTGAATGTTCAGATCCACGCCACTCATTGTGTTCCCATTTGCGGCTGCTAAACACGTGGCTCGCTCTGCCCCGACTACTGTGAAAAGCCATCAAAGCGATGACGATTGGCAGTTCGCCGCCCAGACCCTGGGATGGTGTGGTATTTTGGCTCGTATCTTCGAAAGCCCTCGGCACCAGGGCCGGAATCCAGGAAGGGTTCCTGCCCGCCACGTACTGATCTCCTTGGGATGAAGCGTTTACCTGCGAGACACCGTTGGAATTGACAAAGTGCAGTGAGTTCCAGGAGTCCGTATTTCCGTCATTGGCGTCGTCGCAGTCACAATTGTGACGGAACCATGTAGTCCCCAATGAAGCATCGCAGTCGGAGACAATGATTGGAAGATGAGGCGAGCAAGCAAAGACGGTCTGGGTTTTGTAAGGCATGGCGTAAACTGGGTTGCCGGGCCTGATAATGCCGCCAGCCATGCCCCAAACAGGTCGGTACCACTGGTATTCGTCAGCAGGGGATACAGTACCCCTATCGTACCTGAAGACCTGGCCCGCGAGCTCGTCTCTGTAGGCTTGCTGATGGGTAGGAGGCAGTATGTTGCCCCATTGATCAGATTCGGGAGTTGAGAGCTCGAAATTGACGTCCAGTTCATTGACAACGAACAAGAATGACAAGCCAGGGCTGTTACTGGCATTGGAGGAGCTGTTCTTTGAAGAGCCGTGCTTACTGCGCTTGACATCTTTGCTCGAGGAGTGTTTATGGCTCCTCTCTCCACGACCGGCATGATGTTTGGTAGTCTGCCGCTCGTCAGTATACCGGTATTCTTAGTTCAAGGGAGGCGGCAGCTCACGCTCGGTGTGCTCATGATGTCGTCAAAATTAACCAGGAAAAGTGGTGTGGTTTGGCGAAAGCTCGGCTGTGATTTGTCTGTAGCTTGTCTGGATGACTGGTCGCTGGTCCCTGACTCCTGAGCCACCAGATCGATCATAAATGACAGAAAGTGATATCTGTATTTAACTCGTCATTCTGAACCAGCAGGACCCAATGGTCTGGCACGCTAGTGTCTGCCCAATACCCTTGACATGTACTATGTATGATCGGGCTGGGGTTACAACCGAGTTTCCAAGCAATGAACATGTCAGGTTCAGACCATGTGGCTCTCTCCCCACACACAGATGGAATGCCGAAAAAGTACAGCTCGTATCATCAAACCACTTTAGAATGTCTGATATCAAGGAGATACCGAGAGATCGGCTTCGGGTCTCGCCTTGTGAATGGATAGTTTCTACCAACTTCCCTGGATCCTTCGATGTACCATCCTTGCACATTCCGCGGTGGTGAAAGGTCTCGTGGCCATTCTTTCCACAGCCGAGATCACGAAATTTCGAATGTGTTAGCTCGTGGTTGGGCGAACAACCCGGTGTCAGGCAGCTGTGTCTCTTTCTGGTCGTGTTGTCCGGCAGCGGTGTTGTCGGTAAGCTCCAGGAGCCGCGAGTGACCGAACTCGAAGCGATAGAAGCCGCCCACGATGTCGATTTGACTGCCGTTACCTCGATCCTAATACACTGCAGATCGGGTTGTAGTTACCCACCCCCAGATAGTCATGAGGAAGTGCCCTTCCTGCCGCCTTGGCCCTGAATGGGCGAGCTGTCCAGCAGTCGGCTAATGTTTCACAGACTGGGCAGAAGTCTTGTACTACACAGCGCCTAGCGTTGCAGTGAATTACAAGGTAGAAGCTTGTTCGACCTGTCTGCTATCTGAAGTGAAGTCTGTCGTGCTCGGAACCGGCCAATCGCACTAAAAGCTCGCCCTGGGAGGTACCTTGCGCGGACTGGAAAGTCTAGACGAGTACCAATCAGAACAATGACGCCTAGTGGGGGTATAAGAAGGGAAACGCTGTGAAACCTCACCAGACGCCCAACGCTATCCCAGTGTGCCTGTGCGGGCCTTTCCAAGACGGGTAGCGACATAGAAGTGGAAGAAGAAGCGAATGAGGATATGTTCGTGATGCGAGATATACCAGGCTATCCAAACGAAGTTGACCGTCTAACCACGCTCGGTCAAGTCAATCTGTCGCTAGAATGCTAGATACCGGGCGGCTGCATGGATGGAATATTGGATACATCGGCTTTCGAAGTCGCCTTGCTGCTGACATTACCCTCACCCAAGTGCTGGCCGCCTTGGCTCAGGAATACCTGGGCTTTCTGTGCTCCTTTCCGACGGATCAATGCTACCGCTCCATGTCGACCCGACGCTCTGGCCGCGTCTAGAAGAGTGAGCTCGGATTTCGTGTCAACTGATGGCTCGACGCCCCCGTGGGGTGTGGCCGCAAGAAGGCGAGGCGGTCTAGGGTGGAATCACTCCAACTGGATGCCACTGTAGATAGTTGACTTGATCCCTGCTCAAATGGGCATCCGGGACTTGATTAGAATTGGCTAGGACACTAGTGCAAGGTGTCGGTGGTTTGGAAATGAGGGAGGGCCTAGTCGAAGCTAGAAAGTTCAGTGTGAAGAGTCGTTGATGCCCTACTACCTAGAGTTCGGGAGGCCTAGGAAAGGAGAAACAAAAGACACGGGAGATTCCCAGGACAAAAGGAGAGAAACCAGCCGATCTTAAATATGACCCCAAATCCTTCCCAGGTCAACCCGCAACAAGGGCTTTGCCGAGTGTTTGCTTCTCTGTGGAGATTGTTGCACTGGTATCGGGAGTCTGCAGGACCAGTGTTGTAGAATCACAATTTCGGGGTTGCCAAAATCACGCCCGCCATCATGCTACCATCATGCTGCTGTAATGATCAGTCAGTTGTCCCGAAAGTGTCAACGACACAATGTCGGTCAGGTGTTGAGCCATCGGGAAAAAACAGGAATCATTGCCGGTCAAAGCCTGAATGTCGCTGGCGGATGGTTGGAGTCCAATGAGCTTTCTAGACTTTCTACCTGGGTGGGATGGAACGAGATTGGCGTATTTGTGTAACCTGGATCGACACCCGATGCCCGACCGAAGCAAACATTTTTTAACGTGTGTGTGTCGGTGTCGTGCCTGGAGCTCTTGGAGATGCCAAGAATGACTGCCATTCGGATGTGGGTGGTCGAGCAGCGGATGTTGCACCAGGAATTCAGGATGATGCTGTGTCGGACTGCCGTTTCCAAGCCACAATAGCTGCTCCACGGTCGACGGACGGGGAAATGAGCGAAATGAATCTGAGATCTGACAGATTGCTTCTTCCGCTCAAACTAAATTGGCCAAGCCTCCGTTAACCGCGGGGGTCATCGAGGTAAATGCGTCCCAGATCTATCGAGTTGTTGCTCAGAGATCGTAAGCGAGTGATGTAAGGAGCCACTGCGTCGGGATGCCATCGGAACCATACAGGCATAGGTACACTCTCGGTCTAGAATGTCTAATTCCTGCACGACGGGAATGGTTGGAGAGGCGGGAAAGCTTTTTGCGTTATCATGGATATGAATGTTGGTCTTGGGGCTGGTAACCACCTGGCAAAGGAACCAACGATGGATGTTTGGCATTTGCGTTGATGAGGAAGTCGAGTTTTCTTGAATTCTCAACAGATACCGGTGGTTCCTTCCATCAGCATGACTCAGGTAGTTGTATTCCGCGTTCGGGCGGGCGGGTGCGACTGCCGGTTTGTGTCACGCTCCGATGTCCAACCAAGGCAGCCACCATCAGCATCTGGGCAAGCGGGGCAGGAGCTCCGAGTCCTGCGACAGCCCGCGCGGAAGGTGAGGTGTCCATCAAAGGTCGGGTGCTTGCCTCGTTGAAAGTCCTAACTCAGTATTTCACTTTTCTCTCACCCGGAGCACCAAAAAGCTACCCGCCCGGACGGGAGTCTGTTTACAAGTCCAAACCTCAATTCGAATTTTCAACAAATAAGTCCCATATAGTGTAGAGGTTTAGCATACCAGATTTTCAATTCTTAAACACTGGCATTCTGGCGACCCGGGTTCGAACCCCGGTATGGGAAGTAAGATTTCCTTTTTTCTTTTTGCCTTTCTATATGACGTTTCTCGCTATCCAGCTTCAGGAACTCTTTCATCAACATGATATGATTTGATCAGAATTAAAAGAGTTGGAGTGTTTCACAATTCAGTGTCTCATTGCTGTTTTCCTAGGATAGCTAAGTAGTGCCCACTGGTGACTCGGCGGAAAGCTGCTGGAGGAAAAGGAGATGGTCTTCTGTCCAGGAAAGCCAGACCCGCTCGGACAACTTTGTGGGCAAGGGGTACAAAGGAGTGTGGCAGCTCAAGGCTGAGCCGGGTGCCGTACCTACTGCCGCGCCGAAGGTGTGAATGACTGTACCGTCCGGTGGTGCCGTGCCCTCTGATGGCTCGAAGCCGGACCGAAAGTTTCATCTTGGAGCTCATGGAAGTATGTGGAGTACCTAAAAAACGCCTTCGTGTTTGAGTTTCATGACGTAAAGTATCTTGACCCACGAACCTAAAGTCACTGGTTAATAGATGGGGATTTCCGACAACTGCAAATGTGTTTTAAAGGCAAGGCAACTCCCAAAATCTCCATTCTTTTGTGGAATCATTCACCAAAATACCAGCAGCTAAAAGGTATCAATGACCGATCCTGAGCGGCAGTCGTCATCAACATGGACAAGAATACCAGCAAACCTTCCTATCCCTACTTAGGACCTCTGGGAGCTGTCTCGGTCCGGACACTGGTATGGGGCCACATGCCAGAAGAGTTTACCGACAAGTTCCTTCCCGTTGACCTGATCATCTTCAAGAAACCCTGGCAAGGCTACACGGATAAACTCTATGAACTCAATCTTGCTGAGCAGGATGATGGCAATCTTGCTTTGAAGGCCGGATGTCATGTTGCGGGCCTCTGCATCCTTTTACTCATCGGGAGAAACTCTTCTTCGCAGATATGATCATCTCCTACCAGGCGCGCTGAATTTTTTGGCCATCACTGTCTGGATCTTGATTCTGTTCTGCGCTATCCACAAGTACTTAACTATGCAGTCCATTCGCAGCCGAATCAAAGCTCGAAACAACCCCGAGGGCCGCTACGACCATATGACGGAGACCTTTGCCGGTCTGGTACACAATCCGGCGCGAACCCACTGGTTTTGGTCTCGCGGAAAATACTCTCTAGGACCTATCAAGCGGCGGGAGAAGCATCTTAACGATGGCTGGATTGTACTGAGACTTGCACGGTGGCCGGAGGACGATGATGCGTCATCCTCTTCCGATAAAAAAGGGGTGAAGCAGAGCCGTCGGTCGGTCACGAAGGACTGGGAGAGGTGTGTGTTGGCCGTGAGACTGTACAGGGACATGAAGAAATACAGGACGCTTCCGCCGTTTACTTGGCCAGTTTCCAAGATGGACAGGGAGGCGGAACTGCGCAACGAGGATAACAAGTGGCTATTTGTGGAGATTAATCCATCCCAGCGTTGGTGGCCAGTGGTGCCCACATGAATAGGGCCAAATATCATGCCGGGTCTCCTGGATACCAAGATTAAGAACATGTTGGGCAGGGTTACCCACTACGGTTCTAGCAGCCACACCGCCCATATATATTCCTAGCTCTGGCTGCCTTTTCCTCTTTTCTTCCATTGCAATACACAATATTCCTATTCCAGAGCATCCCCTATAGAACATCGTCTAATTTTGACCGTTCATGGACACTCATGGAGTCATGGGAAGCCTTGTCACAATCCTGCCTCCACTGTCTGATGATTTTGGACTGGACGTACTAATGGCGTTGATCCTCGACTTGTCGGTAACTAGGCAATTCTTTAAAGAAGTCTCGTGAATGTAAGCGGGTTGTAGATCTGTAAAGTGTGATCAGTGCAGCTCGAGGTCGCTTAGATGGCGATTTGATCGTCGGGTCCCAAAATACCATCGCTGTTTTGTCTAATGCCATATTTGGAGGATGTTATTCTCATCAGGAGCTTCGTATCGATGCGTGGTTGGGAAAACTGATTGTCCGCAGCGGCAAGCGCGCTCTGGATGTCGATATTGGAGGGTTTCCGTTTTCTTCGGGCCGTGTCGTCTTATTCCGGTTTTGAGCCGCATCGAGCGTTTCAGATTCCCTGATTTCAGCTGTTCCAGGTTTTGTTGACTGTTGTGTGTTGTTTGCCCCGGCGAGTTGCCCCCAAAGAGGCCAGTGAGAATTCAGCTTCAGTTGAGCCTGCTGTTTCCCAAGCATTCTCTGTTGCCGCATTGCTCCTTCCAGAACCCAAGGCACACACATTAGGCAGCTAAGTACCTCACCTGATTGGGCAAAACAGTTGCACTTTCCCCGACATCGACAAGGTGCAGCACTAGCCTGCGGTCTCCAACACATCTCGGCTCAGGCAATTCACCCAAGCCGAAGCAGTCCTCCCGAGTTCGCAACATCGAAATCCCACAGTACTGCCCATCACGAGAATTGCCCCGGCGCAATGCAGCACCCGTTCGCTACGATGCCAGAGACAGCTGATTGACATCTCCTCGACTTCACTCTTCCTTGTTTGCCCAGCTAACGATTGGAAATGACGCACCTATCAGGTCACGGGCTGGTCCCGGTCTCAGCGCGAAGCCCGATCGGGCTCAATCTGCTGTGCCTCGATGGCGGGGGTATTCGGGGCTTGTCTTCGCTTTATATTCTTAAGCAACTAATGGAATCGATCGACATGGAGAAGCCGCCGCTGCCATGCGATTATTTCGACATGATTGGGGGCACGTCGACCGGGGGGCTCATCGCCATCATGCTCGGCCGTCTCAGAATGAGCGTCGACGAGTGCATCGACACCTATCGGGCCATGGCACCCAGGATCTTCACAAAGGTCAATCACAGGCTGAATCTAAGAGGAAAAGTACAAGGGCGGTTCGACCACGTCGCTGTCGAGGACGGGGTGAAGGATCTGCTCCGAAAGCGACTTCTCTCTGAAAACGAGCTCCTCTTCTATTCCAGAACCGAGCCTTGCAAGACGTGTGTCAGAATCGAACTGATATGCATTTTTTTTCTCCCAGCTCACCATTATTTAGATTTGTCTGCTCTACAAGCAAACAAACTGGGAATACCGTGGTCTTCTCCAGTTACCCTTCCGAACGGCGCGGCCGGGACCTCCTAGACAAGACAACCATCTAGCAAGCCGCCCGTGCTACCTCGGCCGCTACGTCCTTTTTTGACCCCATCGAGATTGGAAACGAAGAGTTTGTCGACGGTGCCACGCCAGCAAACAACCCAATAACGGAGGTGTGGTCCGAAGCCTACGATTTGTTCTCAGACAGCGGTGACAGCTCCTGGGATCTGGAAGAAAACATCTCATGTCTGGTCTCCATAGGTACAGGCGTCCCCAATCCTAGGCCATTCGGTGATGATCCCCTACGCATCGGTGCGAAGCTTGTGAAGATTGCTACCGACACAGAAAAAAAGGCCGAAGACTTCGCCAAACACCATCCCCGGCTGTGCAAGGAGGGCCACTATTTCCGGTTCAATGTTCGGAAGGGGCTGGAAAACATTGGCCTTGAGGAAGAGGCAAAGTACATGGAAATCATCAGCTCGACGAGATAATATATACAGACCGAAGAGGTGTTCACACTGATGACCAGTTGCGCGCAGAGCCTGAGCAAGCACCAAGGTATGGCGGAGACAAATCTCTATCTGGGTCTTGATACTGATATCCATTATCCACAGCTTTGGCGCAAACCTATGCTTTTGCATATGAGCACTCACAACGGCAAGAGATCAAAGCCTTTCAGAGAAATACGGAGATCCTCGGAAAATTCCTTAATATCACACCGACTTCCGATGTCATCGCATGGTTCACCAACACGGCCGCATACAGAGACTGGGTTACATCATTAGGCGGGTGTCTTTACTACCCCATTACGCCGGCGAGTGTAGAGGCACTCGGAACATACTTGATAGGAGCCCTGCCAGTTACCTGGCAAAAATACCCTCCCTGGGATATCCCCAAACACGACATGTGGTTGACATTTGCAAATTGCCAAGACATCCGACATTGTGGTGTTGTTGACTTGGTCCGCCTCCTTGTAGCGCAGACTCTGATCAAGCTGTGCCCAACAGAGAGTCACTGGCAAGGTCTGCAGAAAGGCTTGACCGCACGCGAGCGTTGACTGCTTTCCAAGAACCTCGCCGAAGCCTCAATAGGCTCATTATTTGACACCCTTAACTTCATCCTGACCAGCACAAGGGCCACCCTCACCAGCCTCACGTCACCAGCTGCACCTTGTCCCGGGACCTTTGAGTTGCTATACATAATCACCAACGTCCATTATCTATCAACTGGTACAGTAGAACGAGAATTGACACAGTTCCGGGCTGAGTTATCGCGAATGGGTGTGCATGTTTTTGCTTACCGGTGAACAAGTCTTGCGGAGGATGGTTCGAGTTGGGGTGTGAACAGTTTCCTGCCTATTGACGAAAACACAGAGTATGAAGGTAAGATAATGCTATTTTCTCTCATTCTATGGCGCCCTTATAAGCGACATCTTGGTCTAGCACTAATTAATAGGAACGACAAGAATTCTTGGCGGCCCTCAAATTTGACAACATGCACATCCGAAGAAACCAAGTTGCGGTAGCCTTCAGTGGAACAACAGAATGGATTAAAACGCACCCCACTTTCGAGAAATGGAACCAGGAAGAATCGGGTATCCTCTGGATTCAGGGCAAGCCCGGGTCTGGAAAGTCGGTACTGGCAAAATCGATTCTGAATCAGGCTTGTCAGTCGTCTCCCGACCTTCTCATGGCAAGCTGGTTTTACAGCAAGCGCGGTGGTGAGATCGGAATGTCCCACACGTCTATGATACGTTCAATTTGCTGCCAGCTCCTCCGTCAAAGACGGACACTTTTCCAAGCCTGCGCCCACATCTATCACCTCAATCACGACGCGGTGCTGGAAGAGTTACCGGCCGTCCTGGAAGCTATTGTCACCAGGGCCGATGGTCCGCCAATTTTGTGCCTCTTGGACGGACTGGACGAGTCAGCGGATAGAGATGA